GGGGACGACTCCCTCGCTTTAATAAATTCTATTTTGAAAGTTTTCATGAAAATACAGTGTAATAAATACAATTATTTAAAAACGCCCCCAAACATAAAATGAAATGACCAAAATTTAACTGATTTTCTGTAATACCGGGTAATAGTCAAAGAAACACAAGATTGTCTGAGTACTTTTTTCATTTAGTCTTTCCCAGAATTCTCCATAATTGCAAAATTCCTTAAAATAAAAAAAAATAAGGACACATTTTTAATATTACCGAAACAACAATATTTTATTTGCCCATTCTTGTATCCATGTTCTAGTATTTCTCTGAGGGAGAATAAATAGCAATAAATTTGTTTGATTTTTTAATGCTACTGAAATTATTTTTTTAGTAGATTCACAACAACCATGTCTGTTCCTGTATCCGAATCAGAGTTGTTGACTGTGGTACCCAGTGAACTGAAAAAACTGGCCAAGTTCATTGTCAGAGGTTTTTACGGCATAGAGGCTGCTTTAGTAATTGATGTTCTGATTGTCAGCCCTTGCATCAAAGAGGAAGATCTTGCAGCGCTTCTGAAATATGACAAAAAACAATTGCGGAGTATACTGAATCAGCTGAAAAATGACCAGTTTATCAAGCAGCGTATGCGAGTGGAAACTCAGGAAGATGGCAAGATGAACAGACATAATTATTATTTCATTAATTATAAAATATTGGTGAACGTTGTTAAATATAAACTTGACCGTATGCGTCAGAAACTCGAAACAGAGGAGCGGGACTCTAGCTGCAAGGCGTCATTCAAGTGTACAAACTGTATGAAGACTTACAATGATTTTGACGCTAAAGACTTGTATGATCCATACACCGGGGAAATGAAGTGTACGTTTTGTAATACTGTCGTCGACGAAGATGAAAGCGCCATGCCTAAAAAGGATTCCCGTACTCTGATTGCAAGATTTAATGATGAAATGCAACCGTTGTATAATCTGCTTCGAGAGACTGAGGAGTTGAGACTTGCTCCATCGATATTGGAGCCAGAACCAATGACCTCAGCTCCAGGGGATACACATAGGTATGTGGTGTGGATTTTAAATTTTCATCCAATGTGTTTATTGTTTTATTCTGGTTCAATTTCTATAATTTTCATTCAAATATTATATTGGATGCTACTGGCATACAATAGACAGTAATTCATCGCTCCCATTCTTTGTTTTATAAACCAGATTTATTATTTGTTTCTATGTATTGAATGTATTGAAAGCTTTCATACATGTTATTACATGCATCAACCATGTTTTACTTTTTTGATATTTTTGAAAAATTAATCCAAGCTAAAATAAAGTATTTCACAGTACAGCATTTATGGCCACAAATCGTGCATATTCTTGCAATTAACCCAGAAAAAAAAATTGCTTGAAATGTATAATGTGTACAATGTGTACCATGCTATATATGTACAGCTGTACATGTACTAGTTCAAGATGTCCATTTAGAAAATAACATTTCTCATAGCAATCACTCTGAAAATAGGCCGTATATCCGCATCCGGCCGTATATCTTAGATGTGCTTGGATAAATAACATTCAAACTTCCCACATACTTCATACACAATATTATACAAATGCATGTCTATTTGTTTCATGATTTGATTGCTGAATTTTTTTTCTAGAGCCATATCATTATGTTCAAATTTATTACACATAATGTCATAGATATACAAATGTATTGGCTTGATGATCCGATAAAAATGGCTGACCGGTGGCCAATTATTTAATAATTGGAAGTTTATATGACAACCCAAAGCCTGCTGAGTGCCAGCTTGTGTGTTAAGTTATGCATGGTCTGTTCTATGTACATGTATATGCAAATATTATTCTTTGGATTCATTCACTTTTGTTCAAAGTTGGTAATTATTTCATATACAATTAGTGGAATTTGTCTGTAACAGGCAGCAGTGTTCTCTCTTTTTTTTGCTTAATGTTCTCATTTAGAACCGAAAATTATGAATAATGTTTGCTACACCTTTTTACTTTCATGAATTTTGTATTCAATGTAATTCTGAATGTACATTTAACATGTTTCTTAAGATGAAATCACAATATTACTCAATGCCAATTTTGTTTTAGAGGAACGATTGCTATACAGTGATCAGGCCTTGCCATTTTGAAATAACGTTGGAATTGAAAATGTCTTTTCTGTATACAGTAACATGAGTGAATAGCTATGCCATATCTCTTAAAAATGATATGGATTTAGATTATAGTGATAGTTACATGTAGCGGGTGATTGCTAAGTGGAGTGCTCACTGGCCTTAGATTTTACCAAGGACTTACTTTGTGAACAACTTGTCACTTTTTTTATCACACAGGAGACCTGGCCAAGGTGGTCACAAGGAAAACCAGGGCATGGAGGCATGGAGTGGGGATGCAACCAGAAACAGGACATACGATCTTTATGACCAAACAGTCACAATAGACATGAAAGAAGAAGGTATGCAGCAGGTTGCCAAGGAAACCGTACAGGCAAAGGAAAGACCAATTTGGATGACGGAGAGCACGGTCAAAGGTGCATCTATGGAATCAATGGACCTGTCTATGGGAGCATCTGGTAGCTCAGAAGACATGACACAAGCTAGTAAATCGCAGCAGGACAGAGAAGAAATTATGCGTGCTTTACTGGCCCATGAAAGGAAAGGCGCAACTAATGCAACCATACCTGGGGCAGCTGCTGCTGACAGCGACGCAAGCGATTCCAGCGATTCGGATGATGATATGCTGCCAAAGAAAGCACCACCAGCCATAGCGACCACAAGCACTATGGAAATGGAAAGCGAAGAGGAAGAGGAGGAGGAGATGGTTACCATTGGCAACATGAAAGTACCGCTGAGTGAAGTCACTGATGAAATGGTAGCTAAAATGTCACCTACTGAGAAGGAAACATATATCAGGATGGGACAGGAAGCATATGCTGCCATTTATGAATAAATACTATATGGTGTTTTATATATTTTGTATTATAATGTAGTATAATTAGGTACATGTATACAGGACTACTACTATAATGGTTTTATGAAAACAAACAAATTTCAATGTTCGTGTCATTCAATAAGGGGTGACAAATTTATCAACATTTTTTTGTTTCAAAAGTGTTTTATGAACTTTACAAAAAATACTCTTGAAGAAGAACAGGCTGAAATGTAGTGTTCAGCAGAAGTTTCTAATAATTCATGAAAACCATAAGTATCCGTTTCTAGTAAAGTGCTACAGTGCGTGTTCAAATTTCATGTAAACAAACAATGTATATTACATCCGTTGTATATAAATATATGTCGCTATAGACCCCATATTGAACTCAAAATGGTCTGTAGGGGTTTAACTGCACATGACATTTTGTGTTAAAATGTTTTTCCTCAATAGTAAATGGTTCAAAAGTTATTACCGATATTAATCTCTTTTTGGACGCAGTATGTATGTGC